GTATCTACGGGACCGCCTCTCCTGGTCTGCCCCGCAGAGGACCTTAAGGTCCATGAATAACCATAGTTTAGAGGTCCCGGGCCCTAAGGAAGTCAGACTAGCCTCCACCAGGGCCTTCTCAGTGATGGCTCCAGCCTGGTGGAATGCTCTGCCCCATGAGACCAGGGCCCTGCAGGATTTAACCTTCTTCCGTCGAGCCTGTAAGACAGAGCTATTCCGACTGTCCTTTAATTTGAATTCAGCCTGATCTTTTATTTCCCTTCTCTTCCATCACCCTCCCCTTTTATGAAGATCGCCCGCTCTGAGACCCCACAGCTAATTCTCCCCTGGTCTCCTCGCTGGCCCAAGTAGGACCAATTCAGCCAGCTAGCCCAGGGGATTATCTAATGCTTATTACGCCTAAATTGATTTCTGAATTTTGAATTTTATTGTTATTCATGTTTTTATACTGTATTTTATGCTGCTTTTATAATTAAGTGTTTTAAATTTGTTGTTAGCCCGGTTTTTGAACCAGGAAGGGTGGGGTATAAATAAATTATTATTATTATTATTATTATTATTATTATTATTATTATTATTATTAGATCCTTCTGGATCAGGCCAGTGCCCCATCTGGTCCAACATCCCGTGACCAACCAGAAGCCAGCAAGCAGGACCCAAGAACAGGAACAGCTCTCCCTTCCTGTGGTTTTGAGCAACTGGGATTCAGAAGCATGGCAGATCCTGGCCATCCTGGCTAGTAGCCATCGATAGCCCTCTCCTCCATGAATTTGTCCAGTTTTTTTCTAAAGCCATCTAGGTCCTTGGCCATCCTGTGGCCTCCTGTGGCAGTGAGTTCCATAGTTTAACTCTGCACTGTTTGAAGAACTTAAGTTGAACTATGGAACTCACGGCTGAAGGCCACCAACCTCTTAGATGGCTTTAGAAGAGGACTAGAGAAATTCATTGATGACAAGGCCATCAGTGGCCACCAGCCATATTGGCTCTGCTCTCTGCCTCCACAGCTGGAGCCAGCGATGCTTCTGAATTCCAGTTGTTGAAACCACAGGAGGGGAGAGTGTTCAAATGCTCCTTGTGGGTTTCCCACGAGCTTCTAGTTGGCCACTGTGAGAACAGGATGCTGGACTAGATGGGTTGCTCGCATGACCCAGCAGACTTTTCTTGCAATCTTAAGTTAAATTGCCTCCACTATATTGGACTAAGCTGTAAACAAGTCCCCATCTTGTTACGTTCTTGGTCTTCAGTTGTTGTGGGGTGGATTTAAGAGGAGGCGGGAGGAACAATATTCGAAAGGAGAGAGGATTAAAAATGAAGATCCGAGACAAATAAACTGCATTTGGACCTTCGTTGAGACTCCATCTTGGCCTGTGGTCTTCAAAGGCTGAGGCCTAGGGCAGTCATTGTTCTGCCGCCACCTGTCCCTCACTTGGCAGAGGCTTCAGTAATGTGTTGTGTTGACCACATCCAGGGCTAAAATGGAAAATGAATTTAACGGAAGAGTTTCTCAGATGGAGGAGCAGTTTGCCGCGGACCGACAGGCACTGGTGAGCAAGTACGGGGAGGCCCTGAAAGGCCTTGAGGAGCGCTACCAGCAGGAGTTGCGTGAGGCCTCTGAGGAGAAATCCCAGTGGGAGTTTGAGAAGGATGAAATGGCCCAGGAAGATGCCGAGACCCAGGAGAGGTGGAAGGAAATGCTGGCGCAGGAGAAAGAGGCTTTGTTGGCCCTCACGGAAGAGAAGCAGCTTCTGGAGAAGCATTTTGAGGAGTGTGTGAGCTCTCTGGTCCTGGAGAAGGAGCAGTTGCAGAAGCAGCTGGAGGATGTGACGAAAAGGGAGCACGAGCTCCACCAGAGACTCCTGCAAAGGCAAGAGGTCCACCAGCAGGAGTTCCAGAAGAGAGAAGACGAAGGAGAAATGTCCAGAGTCGAGGAAGATCAGGAGCTGCTCCTCCAAAAGCTCAAGAGGCAGGAGGCTGAATTCAAGGAGGAGAAAGACAAGCTGACTTTGAGGCTCGCCACCGTGGAACGCCTGAAACAGGAGGCGCTCACCAGAGCGGCTGAAGAGAAGGAGGAGTTGAGGGCCAAAGTCTTGACTCTTGAAGGCAACATTGAAGAGCTCCAGCAGGAGCTGCAACGTCTGTCCAAACTGCAAAGAAATTTAGCTTTTTTGAACAGAGAAGCAGACACGCAGAAGGGTGATTTCCCAGCAAAGCCCCAGGAGCCAAGAGAACTGATGGACTTTCTTTCAGACCAGAGAAAGGACCAAGAACCCACAGCAGAAGGTGGCTCAGCAACTGTCTCTGCAGAGAGGAAGCTGCTGAGAAGCCCAGCTCGCTCTCCTAGTTTTATCACACTGGTTCCAGAATCCCTGGGGGACTCACGGTTGCTGAACGTAAGGGACCAAGACGACGCTCAAGTAAAAACGGACGATGGCGTCGGAGAGTCAGGCAGCCTGGCGATGGAAATTGAAGAGACGATACTGGAAGGACCCATGGAGACGACTCTTGTCTTGGAGAAGGCCTACGAGGAGATCTGGGTGGAGAACGATACTCTAAAGCGCCAGCAGCACCAGCTTCGAGAGCGAATCAGCCTCCTGGAGGCCAAATGTGACCAGGCCACTCTGGACCGGCAAGACATGGCATCCCAGGTGGAGAAGGAGCTGGAGGAGATCCTCAAGACCATCCCCCAGCCGAACGCCTTGCCCTGCGGAAGCGAGGAGCGCGGGGAAGGTCTCCGCCGGGGACAAGCCAGTGTCGCAAAACTGCACCCAGATTGCATCGGAGGGAACAAAAGGCCCTTGGCTGGAGCCCCAGAGGCTGAACTCCAAGCTGTGGAGATAGCAGACCACAGAGGAGCAATTGGGACTGAGAAGGGAGAGCTGGAAAACCAGGCGCCAGAGCTTTGGGGTGCGGCCGCTGAGAGAGACGTGAGCTCCAGGGGGCAGAACAAAGGTTTTCCTGCACCGGAAGAACTCGAGCTGCAGAACCAGGCCTTGAAAGCCGAGGTGGGCAAGTTGCTTGAGCAGAACGCCAGGCTGGAAGACCGCTTGCCCCAGCTGCTGCGTCTGCAGAGCAGGCTGGAGGAGAGCGACCGAGAGAGTCTCGCGCTGACGCAGGAGAAGGTGCGGCTGCAGGAGAGGGTGGTGGAGCTGGAAGAGGCCCACGGCCAGATGTCCACGGAGAACGCCGAGCTACTGAATGCCAACCTGGTCCTGCAGAGCCGGCTGGGCAAGATGGAAGCCTTTGTGGCCACCCTGAAGACCCCGAAATCAGGGCGGCGCCACGGCTGGGGCGAGAACGGAGCCCGGGACGCGGAGACGGAGGCGAAGGGGCTCCTTGAGCTGAACAGGAAGCTCAAGGAAAAGGTGGCGGCCCTGCTGAAGCAGAAGGGGAGCCACGCTCAGGAGAGGGAGGACTTGAACGCGGTGCTCTGGGGCTTGCGGAACACCTGTGGCGAGCAGCGGCAGGAGCTGGAGTTCATGAGGTAACCGGGGATCCCGGCCCCCCTCTGCTTTCTGAAACTAACCACCTCTTGCTTCCCTGATTGACCGCCTCCTTGCTGCTTCCACTGACTTCTCTGGGCTTCTTGCATTAACCAGTAGATTAACTTTGGCTTAGAAGACCTTGTTTGCCTCCTGGGATTCTAACAGAAACCAATCACTTCTAATGCGGCTTTGAAAAGTGCGTGCATGTCTGTTTCCATGCATATCTCAAGTGGTACAGCCCGGAGTGTGGTTTGCTTCTTTCCGCCCATCAAAGGCTGCTCAAATTTTCCTGATGTCGATATCTGAGTCCTACTTAGCCTGATGCTTCTGTATTGTGTCTCTCTGACCACCGTACCTCTTTCCTGTCCTCTTCTCTTGGCTCATTATCTCTTTTTAACGTGCCTTAATTGCAGTTGGTGGAAGAATGGCATTTGTTTTATTTTTATCCAACGAGAGCTCACGCATCTAAATGCCAGTTACACTTAACGGATGAGTGAATGTTTGGCTCCAGGCTAGATCTGTGGGGTTTGTTGTTTTTTCCTCAAAAGGAAAGTCCACAATGGCATGCAGGCCTCGTTGGAAAGATGTCCTGACCACCATTGCTGATCTTCTCCTGCAATCTGCAGCCGGAGGAGCAAAGACTCTTTTTTAAAAAAATCATTTTTATTGATTTTCCAATAAAAACAGCCAATCATCATATCCGCATCGTAATCCAATCCAATTAAAAACAATAAACTAAAATTTAAAAAGCGACCAAATTGTAATCCAAATTGTAATTATTAATTTTTCCGGGCTCCCCATAGTCTGGACCTCTGAAGCATATCTCCAAATCTTCGTTCCTGCCTCTTCTCGTTGTTTTCATATTTTCCACCTTCTGATCTTCACTTTAAAGTTCTCCGTCCCGGGCTATGCGATTCTCAGTCATGTCAAAAATCATATATCCTTTCATCCATTGAATACACCTTTATTTGTAAATATATATTTTTTCAACTCTCTATTTTCCAGCGTAGCTTTTCCTGACTTCATTCCAATCTTCCAATCTGGGCTGTTGTCCAAGTTTATCCTTTGAAGTTTAGTGATGCAGCAACTCCCAAGTTGTTAAATCACTCCAATCCGGGCTGTAGGAGCAAAGACTCTTAGTCCAGATAAGACAGGGGAGACTTGTCAGTTCAAGGTCCACATGCCCTTGGGGGCAACCCTCCCAGCGGGTGGGAACGGAGGCAAAAGGGGGGGCGGCGCATGGCTGTGAGTCTTAGCCTTGCACCAGGGCTGCAGTCCAGCCATGGAACAGTCATAGAATCGTACAATTGTAGCATTGGAAGGGAACTTGAGGAACATCTAGTCCTGTGTTTCCCAAACTTGGGTCTCCAGCATGTTTGGGACTACAATTCCCATCATCCCTGACCACTGGTCTTGCTAGCTATGGATGCTGGGAGTTGTAGTCCCAGAAAGGCTGGAGACCCAACTTTGGGGGGACCCTGATCTAGTCCAACGCCCTGCAATGCAGGAATATGCAGCTGTCCCATACAGGGATTGAACCTGCAGCCTTGGAATTATCGGCACCACGCTCTATCCAACTGAGCTAGTCAGAGGTTTCTTCTCATTTACACACGGCACATTATCTCAGTCTGATGACACATTCCAGCCAGGCAAGAGCAGTTGAGGAGGGTACAGCCCGGGGGTGACGAGGAACACTACCTGGGGACAGTCCCTGGGGCTGGATAGGACAACAAAGAGACACTTACCGTATATTCTGCTCTATAAGACGCACCCAACCATAAGACGCACCTAGTTTTAGAGGGGGAGAACAAGAAAAAAAATATTCTTGCCCTCTCTGCGCAGCGCCCCTTCAGCGAAGCGGCAGGAGAAACGGAGCCCCTTCCATTTCTCCTCCCGCTTCGCTGAATGGGCGCCTCGCAGAGAGGGAAAGCTGCGCAGCACCTCTCCAGCGAAGCGAAGCCAATAGAGCAAGAGGGATCGGTGCGCACTGATCCCTCTTGCTCTCCTGGCTTCAGCGAAAGCAACGCGAAGCCATGGAGCCTGCATTCGCTCCATAAGACACACTCACATTTCCCCTTACTTTTTAGGAGGGGAAAAGTGTGTCTTATAGAGCGAAAAATGCAGTAATTTTCTGTGGAAGGGACTCAGTTTCTTGCTTAAGGCGAGTCAGTCTGTCAAGAATTCCCCCAATGCAGTTAGGAAAATGCTGGGATGATGCTATAAGCAATGCACACTCCAGCGCACGAATCCAGGCCAGAGCAATTCACAGGAACTACAGCGCCTCTCTATTTTTGCACCCCAGGTGTGAGATGGATCGCCTCAGAGAGGAAAATGCTCTTTTGCGGAACAAAATCGCCTTTATGAACGAGGAAGGCAGCATTTGCGACCTGCGCTTGAGGGAGCTTAACGGGTCTCGGGAAGAACTCTGGTAAGTCTCTCCAAACTGGAAGCGAGGAACCAGCAGCAAGGGAGGCCACGTGCGGCCCCCAGCTTAATTTTGCAGGGCGTGGGGGGTAAATGGGAGGTGGCAGATGGCGAGAAGAGGGGGGCCCCGCCGTTTTGACTCTGGCCCCGCCTCCCGCTTGTTCTGGCTTCGCCCACATCCATCCCCAAAGGAGGGCAGCCCTGAGGGGAGAAAAATGACCAGGAAGTGGAAGAAGGGACTCTGAACCCGAACAGGTGAAGCTTGCTATTTGTCTTTGGTCTTGATTAGATGGGTTCTACATCTTGTCCAATAAATGCCAAAGTGTTGATGGCCTCAGCCAGGGGTCAGCAAACCTACCGCGCCTCGGGCTGGTGTCTCCAGTGTGCAGGGGAGCATGTGCGCATACGCATGCTCACACGCTATTTCCGGCGCACTTGTGGGTCGGAGGAGCACCGGAAATAGCTTGTGCGCATGTGCAGGGGCCTCCTCCGACCCGGATATGCACCGGAAATAATGCTTGCGCATGCGCAAATAATGCTTGCGCATGCTCACAAGCTATTTCCGGTGCTCCTCTGACCTGGAAATGGGCAGCTGCGCAGCGCAGCACCAGTAAGAGCGGGCGGCGGCGGCAGGCAGGGGTCACCGGGGGCCGGATAAACGAGTCCCTCAGGCCTTATCCGGCCGCGGACCTTAGTTTGGGGACCCCTGGCCTAAGCAATCAGGATTCAGTTTAGCTGCTATGAGATGCTCCTGCTGTTTTCACTGTTATTCATGCTCCCGCCCAAGGTGCCTTTGCGCTCCTGCTCCCTTGCACACACATGCCTGCTTATTTAAGGCAAATGAAGTTGTTGCTGCATATTAAGGAGTAACATTTCTGTTCACCTCAGGCAGCAAATGGAGTCTGTGCAGAAAGAAAAAGTTGCGGTGCAAAAAATGGCCGAGAACCTGAAAAAGCAGGTAAGCCCTTAGCTGAGTCTTCATTTTGTATCTTTGGGAGGAGACACTATAAATCAGTGGTGCCCAGAGAGGGTGGTTCCACCCCCCCGGGGGGGGGGCATGCCAGACCATTGCTGGGTCAAGTTCATCAAGTTTGTTGAATCAATTAAACGCAGTACAGGCGACCCCCCACATTTATGCATGTTCAATGTGTGTGACTACGTCGAACCCGGAAGTGACCCAAAAGCATCACAAAAAGGGGCAGAATGAGGTGTTTGCAGGCTTTTTTCAGTGGAGTTTCAAATATACGTGATTTCACTGATAATAACAATAATTTCTTATTTATACCCCGCCCATCTGTCTGGGTTTCCCCAGCCACTCTGGGCGGCTTCCAGCAAAATATTAAAATACAGTCATACCTCGGGTTGAATGTGCTTCAGGTTGAGCGCTTTCGCGTTGTGCTCTGCGGCACCCCGGAAGTAACGGAGCACATTACTTCCGGGTTTCGCCGCTCGTGCATGCGCAGATGCTCAAAATGATGTCACACACATACACGGAAGTGACAAAACGGATCCCGTTCACATCCTGAGGTACCACTGTACAGTAATTCATCAAGTATTAATAGCTTCCTTAAATACGGCTGCCTTCAGATGTCTTCTAAAAGTCAGATAGTTGTTTATTTCTTGAGGAGGGTGTTCCACAGGGTGGGTGCCACTACCGAGAAGGCCCTCTGCCTGGTTCCCTGTAACTTGGCCTCTCGCAGTGAGGGAACCACCAGAAGGCCCTCGGAGCTGGACCTCAGTGTTCAGGCAGAACTATGGAGATGGAGATGCTCCTTCAGATATCCGGGGTGCCTTGGAAGGTAACCCCCATGTAAATTGGGAGTTGCCTGTAGTTTTAATTGGATTTTGAATAAATGTGCAATTAATTCTTACTGGTTTGGATTTGATTAAGTATCTTCCTTAGTGTGTCATGCAAACAGCTGTTGTGTGTAATTTTTTTTTTTTTAATGGAGTAGGGTTTCCTTGCCGTTGATTTTTTTCCTGGGCTCTTGTTTTCTGATCAGGCCTCCGAACTGAAAGCCCGGAATCAGCAGCTGGAGTTTGAGAACGCAGAGCTTGACCGAAAAACGTCTCCCCACCAGGTGGATGTGCAAGATCTTAACCAACGGCTGCGCAAGGTCCATCAGCAGAAGGAGGTGGAGAAGGGTGTGCCAGAGGAGAGGGAAGGCTCCTGGCTCCGGGAGGAACTGGAAAACTGGAAAATCCAGGTATTTTGGTGATTTATAATGAGGTCCTGCCAGAGAACACAGCAAAGCAACCTTGTAGAGCTATTGATTGTGAAGCACTCATTTGTAAATGTTATTATTACGTTCCTTCTTGGTAATCCTGCGGGTAATTCAGCAGGGATTTGATCTTCCATATCTTTTTCTGTGTTCCCTATGGAATGTCGATTGCTGTTGATTATTTTCAAATTACCTCTTACATTTTAATACTTTCCTGTTATTACCTCTTCGTCTTTCTGTTTTGTTGATTGTAAGTGTTTAGTCAAACCCTGCTAGTGAGTCCACTTCTTCACAATCAGGAATCACAAGACAGAGAAGCCAATAGGAGAACATTTCAATCTCCCATAACATTCTATACAAGATCTCAAAGTAGCTGTCATATTACAAAAGAATTTCAGAAATAGACTGGAAAGAGAAGTTGCTGACTGGAAAGAGAAGTTGAATTACCAAACTTAAAACCATGGAGAGACCTGGTCTGAACAGAGACATTGGACTGTTATCTCATTATACATGATAAAGCTATTATTAGCCACCTCACCCCTTGCTTTTTCCTTTAAGACTAATTGCAGTCGCTAAAAGGTTTACCACACCTATCAGCCAATCACCCATTCCCACCCCCCTTCTGAGTAATACCCCTCCCCACCCTCTCACTATATAGAAGGGTCTGGTGACTTCTGTTTCAGTGTATCTGAAGAAGTGTGCATGCATACGAAAGCTCATACCAATAACAAACTTTGTTGGTCTCTAAGGTGCTACTGGAAGGAATTTTTTTACAGTGGACGCTCGGGTTGCGAACGTGATCTGTGCGGGATGCACGTTTGCAACCCGCAGTGACGCGTCTGCGCACACGCAGGTTGCAATTTAGTGCCTCTGAGCATGCGTGTCCGCCAAAACCCGGAAGTAACCTGTTCCGGTACTTCCGAGTTTCGGCAGTCCATAACCCAAAAAAACACAGCCTGAAGTGTCTGTAACCCGAGGTATGGCTGTATTTTGTTTCTTTACAATGTTTCTGTAAATACAACATAAATGGTTCCCAGTCTTTTTTAAAGTCTCTATTGTCCTTATCTCTAAATTTTTCAATTAGCTCTCCCATTTCAGCGTGGTCCATCAGTTTTTCTTGCCTTTCTTCTTTAGTTGAACATTTTATACGTGTGTCTTTGTGCGCAATGTATATGTAAACGAGCCATGGGCAAGGTAGGCCATCCTAACTTTTCCTGCTGCTTTGCTCCCAGTCCTCGACACTGGAGATGGAGCTGTCTCAGCTCAGGGCTCAGACCCTTGCTCTGGAGCAGGAGAACAACTTCCTCAAGGAGGAGCTGGAAAAGGGAAAGCAGGTAAGCCTTCTCAAGGGGAGGAGGGGCAGGGGCAATGGCAGGTGAGGGATGTCATGAGAAGCCACACAAATAGTTCGTTGTTGTTGTTGTTGTTTAGTCGTTTAGTCATGTCCGCCTCTTCGTGACCCCCTGGACCAGAGCACGCCAGGCTCCTGCAGTTTGGTCAAACTCATGTTTGTAGCTTCAAGAACACTGTCCCACCATCTCGTCCTGTGCCGTCCCCTTCTCCTTGTGCCCTCCATCTTTCCCAACATCAGGGCCTTTTCCAGCGAGTCTTCTCTTCTCATGTGGTGGCCAAAGTATTGGAGCCTCAGCTTCAGGATCTGTCCTTCCAGTGAGCACTCAGGGCTGATTTCCTTCAGAATGGAGAGGTTTGATATTCTTGCAGTCCATGGGACTCTCAAGAGTCTCCTCCAGCACCATAATTCAAAAGCATCAATTCTTTGGCGATCAGCCTTCTTGATGGTCCAGCTGGACCATAAATAGTTTGTTACCCAGGTAGGAATATTGAATAAAAGCCAAGACCCAGAAATATACAGGTGAAACTCGGAAAATTAGAATATCATGGAAAAGTTCATTTATTTCAGTAATTCAACTTAAAAGGTGAA